CAGTGACCCATGATTGAATCACATTCTGTGTGGCTGTTATGGCTCTGGCCTCTTCTAACTGTTCCTCCTCATTCTTTTGTTTGTTTCATGATAGACACTTGCTTTAAAGAACCCGTGCCAGTTGTAGAATGTCTCACAGTCAATTTTTTTCTCATTTGCTCATGATTAGATTCTAAGGAAACATTGCTGGCATAAGTACCACGCAGGTGAATTTGTGACATATTGTATACTTTTTAAGACCTTACTAAGGTCTTGAATAAAGTTATTTTGCTTTTAAGTTACAAAAATAATCACTATTAGCTTGATAAAACAATTAATTTCTTGGAAGGCTGTTTATTAGAGTGGACTGTAGAACTGAAGGAAAGAGGGGAATCGCCATGCCTCAGGAGGCAGGCCCAGGGCAGGTCTTGGGGTCCCAGAAGCAGGGGTTCAGGCTCCCTTGGGTGTGCCATTGATATGACGTGGCTTCCATGACCCCCTGTCCGTTGGGGTCAGGGTCACACAGCACAGACACAGCCTCTGGGGAAATAAGATCAGGCAGCCACTGAAGCTGCTTTCTATTTAAGAGAGGAGGACATTGACCATTAGATGAGGCTTATACAAAAAGGCTTTTACTTGGTTTATTTATTTGATTTGCCAAGCAGATCAAGAGACAGGAAAGTCTGAAGAATCCCCCAAACAATAGATTGTCTCCGAAGTCATAAGATCATTTCATGCGTCTTGTTAGCCTGACTTCCCCAGTCCTCACCCTCTGCCCCCAATTAATTAAATCATTGACATCCCAGTCACCCAAGTCATACATTTGGGAATCGCCTAAGAATCCTGCTCCCTCAGCCCTCACTTCTGGTAGCTCACTAAGTACGTTCACTTCTGCTTCCCAATAGTGTCATCATGCTGTTCTCAACCCACCTGCTAGCTCAGTTCCTCATCACCTCTTGCTTGGACCTGTGGGAAAGACTGTGAGCTAAGCCTGTAGGTCACCTCCCCACCCACCGAGCATCATTCATTTCTTCTTAGCTAACACAATTGCAATTTTGTTCAGGTCGCAATGGGCCCAGCTCAAGGGAATGATTATGGTTGACCTCACCCAAGCTTGGAGATCCCATTCCTGTGTGTGTGTGTGTGTGTGTGTGTGTGTGTGTATGTGTGTTTGAGACAAGGTCTGTCTATGTTGCCCAGGCTGGTCTCAAACTCCTGGGCTCAAGTAATCTTCCCAGTTCAGCCTCCTGAGTAGCTGGTACTGCAGGTGCACACCACCACACCCAGCTCCCATCACAGCTCAAAGCACCTTTGTGACTTAGTTCTAACCGACAAGATGTAAGGAAACATCTGTTGGGGGTTTGCTAAAGAATATTTTCCTCGCTGAAAAACGAACTATCTTTTTCCACCCTCCCCTTCCATTCTCTGCAATGGGAAACACGATGTGTGGCGCCCAGTAGCCGCTATGTGATCAATGCCAGCCGTGCCACCACCCGCGCTGTTTCCTTGTGTAGATCACACCTCTCCTCCTGTCTGCCTGGCTGATTTCTGTTCATTCCTCATCTAGGGAGTGTCCCCTGCCCACCTGACCTTGTAGTCCCTCTCCTACTCCGCTAACCTTTAGGTGCTGCCCACTGTGTGCCAGCCCAGTTACACCTTCAGGTTGGCACGTATCTCCTCTTCTTTGTGAGAAACAGCATAAGTTGGTTAAGAGCAAGAAGTCTGGCCACAGAGCCCTGGTTTCATTATTTTATTTTATTTTATTGAGACAGGGTCTCGCTCATCACCGAGGCTGGAGCGCAGTGGCACCACCATGGATCACTGCAGCCTTAACCTCCCGGGCTCAAGCAATCCTCATGCCTCAGCCTCCAGAGTAGCTGGTATTCCTGTGGCTGGGACTATAGGCATGTGCCACCACACCTGGCTAATTTTATAATTTTTTGTAGAGATTGAGTCTCACTACGTTGCCCAGGCTGAGCCCAGGTTTTAAATTCTCATGCTACTACTTTACTGGTTCCATTGGTCATTCCTTACTTTCAGAGCCTTAATTTTCTCATTTGAAAAATGGCAGTTGATCATTGTTTTCTAGATGGTAGTGTTATGGGGAATCAATGATCAATGCACATCAGCTTAGCACAGTGCCTGGTACGTGATAACCTCTCATCATGCATTCATGATCTTTTTTTCTTTTTTGTTTTGAGACAGATTCTCACTCTGTCACCCAGGCTGGCATGATCTCGGCTCACTGCAACCTCCGCCTCCTGAGTTCAAGCGATTTTCCTACCTCAGCCTCCTGAGTAGCTGGGATTACAGGTGTGCACCACCACGCCTGGCTAATTTTTGTACTTTTAATAGAGATGGGGTTTCACCATGTTGGCCAGGCTGGTCTTGAGCTCCTGATCTTGTGATCCACCTGCCTCAGCCTCCCGCCTGGCCGTGCATACAGTGGTCTTGTTATTATTTCCGTTTCTGACACCAACACAAAATCAGTCACTTACTAGATGGCTGAGCTCTGATTCGCCTTGGAGATCTTGACTCCAAGTCCAGTGCTCTTTTTACTGAACTGAAGTTTGTGGCTTTAAAGAGACACAGGCCTCCTTGCCAGCTCAGGCCCAAGTGGGCTGCTGGTGTTGAATGCATAGTAACAAATGCCCAGGTCCATGCCACCATCCATTTATACCCAGATGTCGCTCAGGATCTAGGTACGACTGTCTCAAACCCACAGCGTCACTACATGAACAGGTCCAAAGCCTGCTGGGGAGGAAGCAGGGGTATGGTTATATTCTCATTTACTTTTTACTTTAAACTTTAAGCTCCACTTTTTTTTTTTGAGATGGAGTCTTACATTGTCTCCAGGCTGGAGTGCAGTGGTGTGATCTTGACTCACTGCAACCTCTGCCTCTCAGGTTTAACCGATTCTCCTGCCTCAGCCTCCTGAGTAGCTGGCATTACAAGCGCGCACCACCATGCTCAGCTAATTTTTGTAATTTTGGTAGAGACAGGGTTTCACGATGTTGGCCAGGCTGGTCTGATCTCCTGACTTCGTGATCCACCCGCCTCGGCCTCCCAAAGTGCTGGGATTCCGGGGGTGAGCCACCCTGCCCGGCTTGTTTTGTTTCAAGGAGGCAGGGTCTCGCTCCGTCACCAGGCTGGAGGGCAGTGGTGCCATCAGGGCTCACTGCAACCTTGAACTCATGGACTCAAGCAATCCTCCCACCTCAGCCTTCTGAGCAGCTGGGACCACAGGTGTGCACCAGCGTGACTGGCTAATTAAAAAAGATTTTTGTAGAGATGAGGTTTTGCCAATTGCACGGCTGGCCTCCAGAATTCTCTTAAAGTGCTGTGATTACAGGCGTGAGCCACTGTGTTTTTTTAAAACCAATTTCTGGGTATGATAGAGACTGCTATTTGTCCCTCATATTTATTCTGTCCTTACAGCACCCTCACTTTTTAGCTGAGCTCAGAGGTGACTCAACTAAAGACTATATTTCTCAGCCTCCCTTTCATGTGTTCAAGAAAAAAAAATAAGAGAGTACAGATGGCACAGTGAGTGGGCAAGCTATCTCCTTGAGCAAGAAACTTGATCTAGCACAGATTCTAAGTTCTGGGGATTTGGTTTAAGGGAGGCAAAATGCAGTTGGTTTCTAAACCCAGGAGACAGAACTGTTTCTGTCTCATGTCAGAAAATCGCAGTGTCTCAATGTTGCATTGGCTGGCAACATCTAGGTTTGCTGGTTAGGTAGGCACTGGGTTGGCTGGGAGCCTTGCAGCATATATGAGGGACCTGCTTTGGGACTGTGGCATCGGCAGCCTCCACTTGAGTTAAGATTATTGTGTTCAGTGAATCTGTATTAGTGGCAGCTGGCTGGGTGGCCAGGTCCTGGTATGTCATGGTTAAGTGTGGCTATGTGTCTAATTCTGGCCAAGGGAAAGCAACGGGGAGCGTTGTGTGCAATTTTTAAAAGGTGTGGTCCTCTCCTTCCCATTTGGTGGGAATGCAGACAAGATGCTGGATTCAATCAGCCCTGGGTCCCTGCGATAGAAGCCGGGAATGAAGGACAATAGAAAGATAAATTTGAGGGAGGCTGGCTCCCCGATGCTTGTGGAGCCACCAAACCAACTCTTGACTGCTTTCCTCAGGACTTGGTTTAGATGAAACAGCAGTGAGCTTCTGTCTTGTTGAATCCCATCTTTTTAGTTTTTTGAAGACCGAGTCTTGCTGTGTGGCCCAGGCTGGAGTACAGTGGCAGGATCTCAGCTTACTGCAACCTCCACCTCCCATGTTCAAGGGATCTGGGCTCACTGCAACCTCTGCCTCCTGGGTTTAAGCAGTTCTCTTACCTCAGCCTCCAAAGTAGCTAGGATTACAGGCATGTGCCACCATATCAGCTAATTTTTGTATTTTTACTAGAGCCTGGGTTTCACCACGTGAGCCAGGCTGATCTCAAACTCCTGACCTCAGGTGATCCACCTGCCTCAGCCTCCCAAAGTACTAGGATTACAGGTGTGAGCCACCATGCCTGGCCTTGAAGCCCATCTCTGCAGAGCCAGACCCACATATGTGTTGAGCAGGACAAGATCCACCTATCTGGGAAGGAATCTTGTTTTTAAAGAGGAATTTTCTACCTGGTCACCTCCCTCCCTTTATTCATTCCCTTGTTGAAAAAATGTTAGCTATTGTATACCAATGTTTCCTTTACCTTCACATTTAGGAAAAACAGGAGTTACAGCACAAAAACAACAAAACAACAACAACAACAACAAAAGCAAGGGGTACTGAAAAGAGCCAGATGCCATCGCCACTAACATCCTAGTTCCTGAGCCTATGTGGCCTCTGGGAAGCAAAGATGGACTGATAACATGGTTATCACCACAAACAGTGTACAGTCATGTGTCAGTGCCAGCCATAACCGTGGTAGAAAGTGAGCGACGTACTGTTTGTATTCCGCTTTACTACGGAAACTTGTTTATTTCTCTTCCCCCTCCTCCTTTCTTTCTTTCTTTTTTTTTTTTTTTTTCAGCACCAAATAGGATGGCAGGCAAGTGCAATGATTTCTCCTAGCCTCCTAGGAGGCTTTAAAAATTAGGTGCAGTTTTTTCTTACGATGACCATTTGGACTCTGGTGCCTTCATGTGGTATCATCAATAAATAGCAAGATCTTGGAGAGAAACGCCTGAAACGGGACGCTGGACCATAGGCCACAGTCAAAATTAAGTTCATGGAAAATAAAGAAATGTTAAAAAAAGTTATTTAGGTAAGTTTTGGAATAAGATTCGTACTTGCTACATAACGTCCATTTGTTGAGCACCTTTATTGCAAGCCTGACATGTTGCTGAAGGCACCTTGTAAGGTTTTTTTTGTTTTGCTTTCTTTTTTTTTTTTGAGACAGGGTCTGACTTTGTCGCCCAGGCTGGAGTGCTGTGGTACAATATGCCCTCAAGCAATCCTCCCACCTCAGCTTCCCAATTGGCTGGGGTTACAGATGACTAATTTTTTTTTTTTTTTTGGTAGAGACAGGGTCTCCCTGTGTTGCTGAGGCTGGTCTTAAACTCCTGGACTCAAGCAATCCTCCCATCTGGGCCTCCCAAATTGCGGGGATTACAGGTGTGAGCCACCATGCCCAACAGATTATTTTTAAAAATTCTCACAGTGTTATGAAGTGGGTACTACAAAATCTAATTTGCAAGGAAAGCAACTGAGGCCTGGAAACATTAAGCATCTGACCCGTAGTTACACAGGCAGTAAAGGCAAATGTAGGCTCTGAACCCAGATCTGTGTGACTCCAAAGTCCCCGCCTCTGTGGAGCATGCTTGAGACTGTGGGTCAGAAGACCTGGTTTGGGATCCTGGCTTTGCAGGCCTCAGCTCCCGACTCTGGGTATGTTGACTCTCCCTCGGCTTCAATGTCCTCAACTGACAGCGTCGCGTCCTCCTGTGCCCATCAGCAGCAGGAGATCATCACCCCATAATGCGGGCATTCTGCTTCTGTTTTTTCCTGCCTTGTGGGCTCATGTGGTAACTGATTCATCTGGGAGATAGCTCTGGGAGGATCTTATTGGGCGATCGAACAGGCAACGTTGGGGAGGCTCTTGTGGGGAAGGAGAGAGAGGAGACTTAAGGTGAATCATAAACACTGCCCGCCTCTCACCTGTGCTGCCGCCCCATCCTGTCTCCGTTGGACCACAGCCATTTGTCCCTGGACTGGGTGACTCAGCACTTGCAGGAGAGAACCGACTGAGGCTGAAGTTGCCAGAGGAAACCAAACAATTCTTATTTACCAAACTGTCAAAATCCTATCATTGCAATTAAGGAGATAGGCAATTAACTGTGTCTTAATTACAGCAGCTGCCACTTCTTCTGAATGCTGTAATTTACAGAGAGAATGGGAGGAGACTTTACATTAATGTGTGTCTTTAAACAACGAAAAACATTGATGAGCCTGAAGGAAATTGTCAGCCTGGTGGCAGGGCCCCTCCTGGGAGGAGCCATTGTTACAAAATGTGCTTACAGAAGCCACGATTTTCCTCTGCCTTTGTTGCCTAATGGCTGCATTCCTAACAAACGCCAGAATGACACTATGACATCCTATTTTATACACAATCCAATTTACTGATTCCAATAGCAATGTCATCTGTGAAAACCTCTGCAAGTGTCATCTCAGTCTGTCTTGTTGGTTTAAAAAAAAAAAAAGTTCAGTTTTAAAAGAAAGGGCTTTTTTTTTTTTTCCTTTTTGTGATAGAGTCTCGCTCTGTCTCCCAGGCTGGAGTGCAGTGGTGTGATTTGGGTTCACTGCAACCCAGTGAACGGTCCCTCCGCCTTCTGGGTTCAAGCAATTTTCCTGCCTCAGGCTCCTGAGTAGCTGGGATTATAGGCATGTGACACCACACCTGGCTGATTTTTGTATTTTTCGTAAGACAAGTTTTGCCGTGTTGGCCAGGCTGGTCTCGAACCCTTGACCTCAGGTAATCTGCCTGCCTGGGCCTCCCAAAGTGCTAGGATTACAGCCATGAGCCACCACGCCTGGCTCTGAAGTAAATAATTTTAAACATTAAGTCCAGACTCATGGACAGAGAAACAAGGTTTTACTTTTTTTTAAAGATGGTGTCTCACTATGTTGCCCATGCTGGAATAAGCATTTTAAATTCCGGATTTTAAAGGGTAGTCAAATTTACATCTGAACAACCACTCTGTGAGGTAGGTTTTAGACAAGTGAGGAAGCTGACAGGCAGAGAAATGAAGACACTTGTTCAGGGTCATGGATCAAGCTGGTAGGTGGCCAAGTTGGTTTCAGGCCCAGAGTTTGCTTTTTTCCCCAAGGCTGGCCACGGGGGATGCAAGGTTGACCACAGCGAGGGACCCCAAACAGGGGAGAAGACAGCTGTGGTAAATCCAGGAGGAACAGCCGTTAGAAGCCACCGCATGCCAGGTGAGGTGGCTGGCAGGGGAGCGCCCAGGCTCAGCCGCAGTTTGGAGCTGTGCTTCAGTCCCGGGGAGGCCCTGAGTGGAGCAGTAGTAACATAACGCTTTCAAGTGAGACTGACCAGGCCTCAAACCCCTGCTCCTCCACTCCTCAGCCAGGTGACCTTGGGAAACGTCCTTGTCATCTCTGAGCTTCAACAGCATCAATGTTCTTCATTTATGCTGGGGACCAGATCAGCCCTGCACAACTGCCATGAGGATATAAAAGGAGAAGACGTGGCCCAGGGTCTGGAGTTGTGGCTGGGATGCTGAAGTCTCCTGGTAAATGTTTGTGCATCCCTCCACCCCAAAGGAGGCCAGAGAGGGCCTCCAATCTAGGAGGCATTGGGGGTGCTGGGCAGCTACCAGAAAAAGGACAAATCCAGAGGCTGACCCTAAGAACCAGAGCAGGCGCTGAGGGAGGGAGGCTCAGTCTTAGGAATGAGCTGGATGCTTGGTCATCGCCAGGGACCAGACCAAGGCTGGACAGCAGATATCACAGTCTATGTGTTGAGTTCCCGAGAGTTGGGTTCAAGGCTGTCACATCCTCCTTCCAGGTCCGAACTGCAGACCCTGACCCAGCGACGGATGAACAAATGCACTCAGACACAGATATCCAGTGAAAGTGTGGGCTAGGGGTCCGGGCCACTGGCAGACACGGAGGAAGTGCTGTAAAGAGTCAGCAGCCACGGCTCTCACAAGCTGTGCTGCAGGCATTTATTCAGAATAGATTTAATGGCAAAGGCTTTCAGTACATACACTTGTGGGTAATTAACATGGTCGCCCTCCCTGGAGAGAGCAGTCCTACAGGTGACTAAAGGCCAGGTTCCAAGGCCTAAGCAAACTAACTTACCCAGATCAGTTTCTTTGCATCCCCTAGTTATCTACCTTGAGCTTTCAGGCACCGGAGAAGAGAATCTGGCTGCCTTCAGCCAAATCCTATTCTGAGGCTTTTGCAAGAACTTCTGGCCTTCCAAGAAGAGTTGCGTCCATTTTACGATTCTTCCCACCACCCTGACTGAACTCCTACATCCTCTGGCCTTGGATCAGAATGAATCCTAGGACCTGTGCATGAGGCTAAGCTGCTGAGCTGAGACCTAATGGGTAGGCTGTAACTCCCAGAATGCTGAGGTGGCCCTAGGCCCAGGCTTCCTCTTGGCAGGCCCTCTCTGCTCGGTGCTTGGATGTACTGTTCTGGCAGCCTGCAGAGAAATGAAAACTGCCTTGACCAGGGGGCTAAGTGAGGGCATGCTGCTGCAAGACACCTCCCCTTAGGCCGGCTCACCTGGGACAATCTCTTCTCTTGTCTGATCGAACTTCGATCTCTCTTCTGGAGAGACAGAGTTTTCAACATAATTCATTAGTTTAGAGATAAAATTGGATCAAAGTGGCTGGGCGCACTGGCTCATACCTTAATCCCAGTGCTTTGGGAGACTCGCAGGAGGATTGACTTCAGCCAGGTGTTCGAGAGCAGCCTGGGCCACAAAAATAAACAAACTAGCCGGGCATTGTGGCACATACCTATAGTCCCAGCTACTCAGGAAACTGCGGTGGGGGGATCCCCTGAGCCCAGGAGTTTGAGGCTGCAGTGAGCTATGACGGCACCACTGCACTCCAGCCTGGATGACAGAGTTAGACCAAAATGAAAACAAAAACCAGAAAAAAAAAAGTCACATGAAAGTAAAGTGCATGCCTGTAATTACCTTCACAAGAGAGTTGAATGTAACCTGAGGTGCCTGGTGACCACTGCAGAACAGACAATAGACAGGGCCAGCCCCAGCAAGGGGAGCCTCCTCCTGACCTCCCGGCCCTTCTCTTCACTCTTCTGAGCAAAGTCAGCATCCGGAAGGAAGCTGCGTTCGTCGTCTGGATCCTGGTGGAATCTCCCAGGGGAGCCAGAACTTCAGCACCTCCATTTGTGACCAACATAATTGTAGAGGAAGCTCTCATCTAATGACCAGCAGCAGAAGTGCCATCCAGAGACTGTGATCAGACCTCTGTCTAAGACAGTCACTGATTGTTTCCCAGAAAGGAAGGTCAGAGATGAAACAGCACGAAGTGATAATGGCACAGACCGTGGGGGACAGAGATCTGGGCTTGCAGGTCGGGCGGGGTTGTGGGGTGATCCTAGCCCCACTGTCTTAAAATTATCCACTTTCTGGTTCATCATTTGCAGAAGTCAAACTCCATATCTTGTTAACTCCTATGTACCCAGACTTAACACAGAAGCAACAAAAGTTAACAGGCTACAGGCAAGCGGAATTAACACTGGGCAGAGCTTTGAGTGTGGAGATTCCCTAAAGACCTGAAAGTGGAACTACCATTGGATCCAGCAGTCCGACTACTGGGATCTACCCAGAGGAGAAGTCATCATACAAAAAAGGGGCTTGCACGCGCATGTTTGTAGCAGCGCAGTTTGCAATTGCAAAAACGTGGAGCCGACCCAAATGCCCATCAACCAACGAGTGGATAAGGAAACTGTGATACGTACACATGATGGAATACCGCTCAGCCGTAAAAAGGAATGAATCAACGGCATTTGCAGGGACCTGGATGAGATTGCAGATGATTATTCTTTTTTTGTTTTGTTTTGTTGTTATTTTTAACCCTCCAATCAGATGTCTTGTGCTTCCATGGAGATGATTATTCTAAGTGAAGTAACTCAGAAATGAAAAACCAAACATCGTATGTTCTCACAGATATGTGGGAGCTAAGCTAGGAGGGTGCAAAGGCATAAGGATGATACAGTGAACTTTGGGGACTTGGGGAGAAGGGGAGGGGGTGAGGGATAAAAGACTACAGGTAGGGTACACTGTATACTGCTCAGGTGATGGGTGCACCAAAATCTCACAAATCATCACTGAAGAATTTAGTCATGTAACCCAACACAACCTGTTCTCCGATAGCCTATGTTTTGGGTCCCTGCCCATCATTCTTGCATTCAGTCATATGAAGCCAGCAGGATCACAGAATCACAGCAAATAGGGCTGGACAAACCTTGGAGACCGTTGGGTTAAGTGAATAAACTGCTTAAGACCCCAGTAAAGTTAGTTCATCCATTCGGAGCTTACTAATGGAGCGCACTGGGTGTGGTGCTGATTGCTGAGTACACAGTGGTCACAGCACAAGCCGCCGCAGATCTAGAGCAAAGCCTCACTTCTGTTGACCCTTGGTCTTTTCTTGTTCATACCCCATGGGAGGTCAGTGACCCCTCTCAGGGCTCCATCTTGTATGTTTTGCACGAATAGTTTAACAAGATTCTCAGGACAGGAAAACCACGCTTGTCTGTTGTGAGTGAAATGGCTGGAAAGAAACCAGGGACAGAAAAAGGTTGGAAAAAGTTACAGAGCCTTTGAGACAGAGATCAGAAAACTTAGATGCTCCAGAATCCTGGCAGACATGCAGACATGAGTGACCACAACAGGGGTGCTCTGGAGGGGCTGGAGGGCATCCACCCCACAAGGGAGCGGCCACCTTTCAGCTCCGAACCCCTGGCGCTGTTGTGAGTGTATGGCCGTGTTGCCAGGTCTTCGCATATTTCAAGAGAAACCAGATTTTTAATGGGAACTTTCTTAAATTCTAGTGGACTGAGCAAGCTGAACAAAACATGGAATTGGATTTATCCTATCAGCCGTCACAGTTTTCAACCCTGTGAATTTAAGAATTTAGCTGGGCATGATGGCGAATGCCTGTAATCCCAGCTACTCGGGAGGCGGAGGCAGGGGAATTGCTTGAACCCAGGAGGCGGAGGTGGCAGTGAGCCGCGATCTCACCACTGAACACCAGCCTGGGTGACAGAGCAATACTCCATCTCAAAATAAATAAATAATAAATAAAATAAGATTAAAATTTAAAAAACTACTTAGATACATCAAAGAAAAACAGATCATTACCTTTCCTTTTCTTTAATTCTAGTCTGCCTTTCCTGCACTGTTACATCTTTTGCTTTAAAAAAAGGTTCTCAAGTCCGTTATTCACAATAATGTAATTGAAAGTTTTCATTTAGCAGTAGAGCTCCACTCACAGAATCCATTCCAGGTGGCACGTGAGGGACGCCTTCGACGTCTGAAGACACGAGGCCTCAAAGGCAGAGGGTAGCCCACCTGGCGGAGACGTGTGTTCACCTGGCAGCAATGTGTTTTCCTGCTATTTTCTCCTAAGGTTCCACATTGTCTCTTTGGCAAAGAAACATCCTGCCCTTTTCTGTTTTTTTTCTTTTTTGAGACGGAGTCTCGCTCTGGCTGAAGTGCTGTGGTGCGATCTCTGCTCACTGCAACCTCCGGCTCCCGGCTTCAAGCGATTCTCCTGCCTCAGCCTCCAGAGTAGCTGGGACTACAGGCGCACGCCACCACACCCAGCTAATTTTTGTATTTTTAGCAGAGACAAAGTTTCACCATGTTGGCCAGGATAGTCTTGATCTCTTGACTTTGTGATCTGCCCACCTCGGCCTCCCAAAGTGCTGGGATTACAGGCGTGAGCCACCACACCCGGCCTAGAAAGCCTACCCTTTTCATAGACTAGGACACTTCAGCTGACTGAGGGCCATCTCTCTGCCTTGGAGCCTGGCACTCCCAGCTGACCACCGGGCCTCCCAGGGCTGGTGCGGTGGAAGGCGTGTTGGTGTCTCGGAGAGGTAATCCTAAGGAACAGGCGTGGCCCTCATCAGCCAAGTGGAATAGGGGTTGCAAAGGATTTCAAGGGTTTTAAATATTTGCAGAGAGTTCATCCATTTCTTATTGGTGAAGCTAAAAGTATTTTTTAAAGTACCTTTTAGTTACAGCGTGGAATTTAGGAAACTGCTGTGGGAATGAGTTGCCCACAGTCACTCCTTACAAGAAGCAGTGGATGTCTGGAGGTGGCTGTTTCTGCTAACTGGGCTGCTGCTTGGTCCCCCTTACCCACAAGGACACGTTCCGGCAACCCCCGGGGATCCTCAAACTGTGGATAGCACCAAACCCTATATACACTATGTTTTTATTTTTATTTATTTTTTAAATATCCTGCCCCCAATGTGATAGTAGTGTTTTTACCTATACATACACACATATGATAAAGTTTAATTTATAAATGAGGCACAGTAAGAGATGAATAGCAATAACTGGCCTGGCCTGGTGGCTCACGCCTGTAATCTCAGCGCTTTGGGAGGACGAGATGGGTGGATCGCTTGAGCTCAGGAGTTTCAGAGCAGCCTGGGCACATGGCGAAAACCTGTGTCTGCAAAAAATACAAAATTTAGCCAGGCATGGCAGCATGTGCCTGCGGTCCTAGCTACTTAGGAGACTGAGGTGACAGGATTGCCTGAGCCCAGGAGGCAGAGGTTGCCTCGAGCCAAGATTGTGCCGCTGCACTCTAGCCTGGGTGACAGAGTGAGACCCTGAGAAAACCAAAAGCAATAACTAAAGATCAAAGAACAATTATAACTATGCCAGCGTCACTACTTTTGCACTTTGGGCCATTATGAAATGAATAAGCGTTGCTTTAACACGAGCACTGTAATACCTTAACGGCTGATCTGATAAGCCGTAACCGCGGCTGCTGCTAGGTGGCGAAAGGGCAGGGAGTGCGTGGAAATGCTGGATACAGCAAAGATTCATGCACTGGGTGAGCAGTGCGTGAATGGAATGGCATGAGATGTCCTCAGGCTACTCAGAATGGCACGCGATTTAAAAACTTATGAATTGTTTATTTCTGGAATCCTCCATTTAATATTTCCAGGCTGTGGTTGACCGCATGTAACTGAGATTGCAGAAAGTGAAACCTCGGAGAAGGGAGCACATCAGAAAATGCCAATGTGGACCTCCAGCCGCTGGCTGCGGACCCATCTACTGCAGCTCCCCACAGACACCACGTTCCAAAGACTGTGCGTAGTTCTCTGAACTCACTGGGAAGTCTGTTTCCATGTCTTTATTGCTCCCATTTGCCATGACATTTATTTCGTTTACCACTTGTTAAATTTTACTCATTTGCTTGCTTAAATCATGATTAAGTATTTAGAGAATAAAAATATGAGCAAAATAGGGACTGTGTCCTCCAGGAGTTTAGAATCGGAAAAGAGACAGGCACATAAACAAGTGCTCTCTGCCTGGCTAACTCTTCATTCTCCCCAGCACTCCTGATTCCTGTGCTCTGGAAAGTTGTCAACAACCAGCGAAGTCTGCTTCAGGTGCCATTATTTTCATGGTAATGGCATGATTTTCTCATCTTCCTGAGTGAAGGCACCTTTTTATTCATGTGTCAGGACTTGGGAAAAGTGGTTGTTTCGTGAATAAATAAATGAATGAATGGATAGGCTAGGCTAGAGGCTAGCGCAGGGTGCTAGGAAAGCAAACAGAGGCAAACCCTATCCTAGACCTAAAAGCCAGGGAGAGCTCCCCAGGGAATGCCTAAGCTGCGTTCAGAACATGAACCAAAAGTAAGAATAATCTGTCCATTCTGCTTCCAGGTATAAAAACTAACACCTACTGGATGACTCTTTGTGCAGAAAACATAACACAAAAGGTGACTACCTGAAGGCACTGGAGAGTAAACAGAGGCAAACAGATTCTGGTGGAGAGTTATCTTGGAGCAGGGGAGAGGGGAGACTAGGAGCTTCGCGGCTTTAGCCTGGGTTGACAGCTGGCCTGGGGAACCAAAAGGGTGATGCCAGAAAACGCAGAATGCTAAGTAGAATAGGGGCAGGAGCCGAAGAGGGACTTTCCTGAATCCATGTACTCATATCTCTGACTCACTCCTGAAGTAGGAACAAATGGGACAGACTCAAGGCAGCTCAGTTACAAACCAAAGGTCTGAACCAAAACCAGAGCTGCTACTTAAAACAAAGTTTGCCATTAAACCCAGCCAAGAATATTACCCACTAAAACCAAGGAAATAACACTCATGAGGGGGAGAAATAAAGTACAGAACCTGTACAATTTAACATCCAGAATGTCTAAGACAGAATCCAGAACTCCCTGACATACAAACAACCAAGAAAATGGAGCCAATTTTCAGAAGAAAAGAAAATCAGGCAAATCTGACCCTGAGATGGAAAAACGTTAGAATGAATAGACAAGGATTTGGAAACTCATTATAACTACTACAAATGGAAAAAAACATGTTTTGTATGAATGAAAATTTTTAGCAGAGAAGAAATCTCAGCAGAGATACAGAAACAATAAAGAAGAACCAAATGGAACTTCTAGACCAAAAAATAAAATTTCTGAAACATAAGTGTACTAAATGAATGTGACATCTAAATGAACGTGACAAAGCAAACAGTAAGTGAACATAAGGATAGATGAATAGAAATTATCTGAGATGTAAAACAGAGAAAGAAGGAGATAAAAAATAAACAGAGTCCTCAGGAATCCGTTAGATAATGTCAAACAATCCAGCATGGATATAATTGAAATAACAGAAAGAGGGGGGAAAAAGAATGTCTTCTGGAGTTTTAAATGTATATAGCTCTAATACCTGTAGTAACTATAACATAAAGAATAGAGGGAAAATACAGATTTAAAAGTTGTAAGATTTTTATACTTTACAGAAAATAGTACATATTAACTGTAAGAGAGCTATGGAAGGTGAAGTGTGTGTGTGTGTGTGTATACCTATATACATATAGTAATCCTTAGGGAAACCACTAAAAAAAAAAAAAGCAAAAATTTTTTTTTTGCTAAAAATTCATGCAGACAATGAAAATATAACCAACATTTTTTGAGATATTTCCTCCAAAAGAAGGCAGAAATGTAGAAACAGAAACTAAAGTACAGATGAGATATGTAAGGAACAGTAACAAAAAAGTAGACCCAACCCAACCATATCAATAGTTCATTA